TGTGACCTCGACAGCTGAAAAGGTCAGCTCCTAACAACCCAAACCTAGACGTGCAGTGTGGGCTGGTCCCGGGGCACGTGAGAAAACCAGGTCAGGAAGATCCCAGGGACCTTGGACAGCACCCGGGGAACTGGCCTGGGTCGTGGTGGTTGCAAATGACCCCTGACCCAGAGGGGTGCCGCTGCAAGGGCCTCCCAGGGGGCCAGGCCAGGTACCTGGTTTTAGCAGATCCTAGAGAGAATTCAGACTGGGAGCAGTCTGGTGAAAAACCAAAGGTCTCACTGATAAATTCTCTCTGCCACCTTCACTATCAAAATAAAGCAAGCCCCATGAAGCCCAGTCTTCCTCTGCAAATACCCCTGTGAGGGGACAGACCCTCTGCTGCCACCAGACCCTGAGTGCTGGCCTTCTGACATTCCCCAGGGAGCCCCAGAGGCTCCCTGTGCCACTGGCCTCCTCCCAGCCTGGCCCCCAAAATTCACGTCCACCTGGAATCTTCAGGTAGGGTCTGTGCAGATGCAATCAAGGAAGGTGGGTCAGACTGGATCAGGGCGGTCCTAAATCCAATGACCGGTGTCCTCGTAAGGAGAGAACCCAGAGACACAGGGAGAGACCCAGGCAGCCGCAAGCCAAGGCATGGCAAGTGCTGCCAGCAGTCCTGCAGCTGGACGGAGGCCAAGAAAGGGTCCTCCCTCCCGGCTGGCAGAGGAACCGGCCCTGCCGATACCGCGATCCTGGACTTCAGGCTTCCAGCCTGTGAGATAACAGACTTCTACCACTGAAGCCGCGGTTTGTGGTGCTTTGTTTGGGCCACCTCACGATGCCTCCCCCGAGGCTGCAGTGTGTGCTCACCCAGAGAGCTCACAGACCCTCAGCCACCACATACACACGAGGCAGGCCAGAACCTCCCAAATACATCAGGCCTCTCACTCGACAGAGCCGTCTATATCCCATGGTGCTCATAACAAAAGGAGTCCTTTTCTTGTCCGGATCCTGTTGTTTTGAGGGTCAGAAGGAAAGTCAGTGCCGACTTGTGCCCCTGAGGAAGTACAGCCTCTGGGCCGTCCCAGGTGGAGCCGCAGGAAATCACTGCTCTCCCAGGTCACGGTTAAGCGTGAGCCAGGTCACCTGGCAGCTCAAGGCTGGGTGGAGAGGACAGGCACCCAAAGAATCCAGAAGACCCACAAGATGGGCGGGAAAGATTTAAATTCCCTGGGTCCATTCACAAGGTGATGCCCAACCCTGGGTCAGCAGGAATGCATTTTGATTTGCTTTTCCAATAGGATGTGGGTGACTCCACTGGGTCTTCCTTTGACCACGGGCGTGCACACTCACACACATGCACGCACAAACATGTGCATGCGCACATGCATAGACACACACGTGCACAGACACACACACACATGCACACACACAACCCCCCCAACCTCCGGGAGGAGGCTGCTGGAAGGTGGCCAGCACCAGAGCCAGTGTCGGGGTTTAAATCCTGACTCCTTCCCTCTCCACACTGTGACTCAGGGCCAGCTCCTTAACCTCGCTGTGCTCTATCTCTATCCAAAACCAGGGACAATAACCTGACCTCGGAGGACCGGGCAGGTGAGTCACCTGTGGAAGGTCCCAAGGGCAGAGCTGAGCCCAGCTCACCGCCGCAGGGCTGGAGGCAGAGCTTTCCGCCAGCAAGTGTCTGGCTGAGGGTCTCGGCCCGGACAGTCAACAAGCAGAACAACAGAGCCACCACGTGGGGTCAGGGCTGACCCCGCAGCGCTCCCCATCCCAGCCAGCTCACCCGGCCGATCCCCTGAGGTCAGGCTGCTGCCTGGGGCCCAGGGGCCGTCAGTGGATAGAGGGCAGGCAGCGGGGCCAAGGGACACTACATACCAGGGAGCCCGGGGCAGGCCTGCCGCAGCATCGGCTTGTCCATCCTCTTGGCGTAGAAGGCCGCATACCACACGCGCAGCTCGGTGCCAGGGGGGATGTCGCGCGAGGTGGTGAAGTAGACGTCGCTGCCGTGCTGGAAGGCGGTCAGGTTCTGGTGGCCAGGCTCCGCCGCCGGCCGCACCAGCATCATCCAGTTGCAGTCATCCTCGTTGGAGGTGTCGAAGCACACGGGGTGCCCATCCTTCTGGAATACCTGCGGGTGAGCGCGGCCGGGAGCAGTTACCCACAGGTCCGCGCGCCAGCCCGTGTGCCAGCCCATGGTGGGGCACGCTGCGCAAACAGTCTAGAAAGAGCCGCATCAGAGGCCACACCAGGCCATACGGGATCTGTTCCGGCATTTACACTGGTAGGAGGCACAAGGAATCCACGGGGCTTGAATAGGTCAGGCTGGTCACAGGCAAAAGGGAACAGGAGACACAGAAAAAGGCTCGGTGTCGAGACCTGAGTTCCATGCATGGCCCAGGTGAGAATGGGACGCCTTATTTCACCCTGTGGGCCAGGTGGGCACCTGGATGCGTGAGCTCTACTCCTGTTCTCGGTTTTTCGAGGAAACCTGAGTTCCACTCCCAGGAGTTATAAGGAGACCTGAGTTCTGTGCGTGGCCCAGGTGGGAGCTGGGACATCTGAGGTCTACTCGTGTGGTCCAGGTGTCACTGGGACACCTGAGCACTAAGCCTGGGCCAGGTGTATCAGGACGCCTGAGTTCTTCTCCTGGCCCTGTTGCAAGTATGCTCAGTGGCTTCAGCAGAGTCCTCCATCTTTATAAGCTGTCCCCTCACCTGCAGAGCAGCACCGTTGCCTTACAGGTTAAATGCAGGCAGGGAGCAGGGGGAAAAGCTGGAATATTTTGAAGTTCAAAGTAACCACATGGAATCGGGGGCCCTTGTCCTCTATTCTCCGACTCAATCTTTGCTTCCTCACTGGGCTCTTGCTGTAGGGGCCCCCACTGCTAAGACGTAGAGGCCCCGCTCAGAGGATGGAGCCCTCAGAAGCGAGGGGAGGGGGCAGAGGGGGCCGCCAGGTGCCTAAGGACCCCAGCCGGTGTTGGGGCTGCTCCCAGCGGGCCTCACCCTCCCTCTGCAGGCTTAAAGCTGCCCCCGGCACACAATACAGAGGAGTTTCCGAGACATTTGTGAACCACTGGAACTCAGTGGGCATTGCCTGCCACCCGACCCCCCACCGGAATCTGCACAGAAGGAAAGTCACAAAACAGGTCCCGCAGCCCTGCTGGTACCAGCTTTCACCTTCAGAGGAAACGCAGACTCCTTCTCCCATTTGGCGACTCTCCTGGACTCGAATGGACCGAACTGCGTGCGCTTGACAAGCTGCGTTACGGCAAACACCCCCTCAGCCCCATCTTCCAGTCGTCTGATCTCCAGGTTGGAAGGAAGGGACGACCTAAAAATGAAACAAAGCAAGAGACTGTCGGCCCCAAGCACCCACTGTCCGAGGTGCCACTCACACCAGGGGACAGACGGCAGGATGACGGAAAAGGTCGATCTCACCGACCCCCAGAGCAGGCAATGGAGGGGCGTTTCCCAGAGAATGCGTTTAAAATCTCTGCCCAAAAGACAGCTGCCAGCCTGAGTGTGGACTGCGGCACGCCAACAGAGAGGGAGGGAGGACCACAGAGAGACCATGAAGGGGTGCCACGTGGAAAGTGCCACGGGGAAAACCAAAAGTGCCAGGGCATTCCAAAGACCAGAAAAGGGTTTCCAGCTAGGATGCCTGGGGCCAGTTTCACTGAGGATGTGACCTTTTTAAATAAACTTGAATGTCATGGGGGCTGAGACCCAGCGGGAGCTAAGGCAAGGGAGCGGGGTGGACCCCCAGGGCGTCTGCAGCACAGACCCCTCGTGGGGCAGGCAGGAGGCCGGGCTGACGGAGGAGCACATCCCGAAGGCCCCACTGAGGGACTGATGCTTCCCACTGGATTTCTGTGGGCAACACGCAACCACTGAAGGTTCTGGAAGAGAGCTGATGAGCTCTCCACTTCAGCCAAAAATAGTGATCTCTCTACTTTGTAAAGTCACAGTGAGAGAAAGTAAATAAAGAGGCTGGGAAAACCAGTGGGGAGGCTTCTAGACATAGCACGGATGAGATAACTTAAGAGCCACCACGTGCCAGGCCCTGAGTCAGGGACAATGACCACTTTCCAGGTGGTACTTTTATCTCTTCACTTTCCAGAGGAGGCAACTGGGGCACAGAGAGGCGCAAGCCTCGTCTGCGTCCAAAGACCTACTACACGGCAGACGGGGCTGTGACCCAGGCGGCCCTCGGGGGACACGGTAGCCACCCCTCAGGGAAACGCAGTGGCAGAGCCATGGAGCCGCCTCACCAGATCTGCAGGTGCTTTTCCAAAGCTGTGACGGCTCTGCCTGGCTCCCTGCATGCCCCACCCCCTTGCCCAGAGCAGGCATGTCTGATGGCAGGTCTGGGTTTGGACCACGGAGGACACTGAATGAACAGACCTACGACCTTGGCCATGGCCGCTCAAAGCATAAGTTAATGCAGCCCATCAGCTCTTCCACAGCTGCCCCGCGGCATCTGATACAGCTCGCCTCCTGAGAACCAGGAACGGGACAAAAGACCTTGACCCTGAAGCCTCTGCAGCACCCCCGGGCTCATCCCGCGGGCAGGCTGGCGACTCAGCTCACGGTGGGATGGAGATCCCAGCTGGCCTCCAGAACCAGGGCCAGTCCTTCTCACCGAATCTTTCCTTCCTTGTTGTTTTCTCCCTTTGTACAGACGTCAAGGCCGCCAAGCTCCGGCCGCAGTCGGACATGCAGACAACCCTGTTTGACAGGCAGGACCGTACAGACAGCTTGCGGCTATCACTCACCGTGCCCGGCTTAACACAAAGGAGTCTTTGACCATGACCACCGGGCCCAGCTCGGGACATTCAGAGTCGTGGTACTGGCTGCAGTCTTCACACCCTGCAAACAGATGGGGCGGCTGAGCATCCGAGCCTGGAGGCACAGACTCCCTGCTGAGGGGCCTGACCGACAGTGCTCCCCACAAACATAAAAAGCCTGCCACACAGGACGTGCACCCCAAGGAGAAAACCCAGCACCAAGGCCCGTTTCAAAGCAGGCAGAGTCACCTCTCTGGTGATAAAGGACGTCTTTCCCCGGGAATGACAGTCAATGAACATTCATCAACTTAACCTGTTTATCATAAATCTAATGTGTCGTAAACCTCTTCCTGAACCCAGGAGTCACTTTTCTGAGTCAACAGCTAACCCTGCAAAGTGCCCTCCGCTGGGAGTGCTAAGAAGGTGAGTCTTTTAAAACCACAGCCAGCAGCACCTTTCTCATGGAACAAATAAATCGTGGTTTGCAAAGCAGGTAAAGTCACTTCAGTTTAAAAAGAGACAGCTTTTCTCCATTGTGAACACCAGGCGCCATGGGCGCGGAGGGCGGGCCTCGGGCCACTCACAGATGAACATGATCTCCTCGCCGTCTTCCGCCATCGCCGACACCTGCCGGGACAGAGAGCCGCGTCAGAGACCAGCGCTTCCCCAAGCCAGGTTCAAAGACAGTTCCTGCCGAGGGCCGCCTGGAGCCTGT